AGCACATGAAAAGCAATGCATCATATTGGGAACCCGCCTTAAGGCTGAGTCCTCACTCCTCACCCACGCTAATCGTTGGCGAGGCCAAAAATAGCATTTACAATTGCGGGCTATACAACATTGAAAAATCAAGATAATATTTTTTGTATTATGTACCTAAAAGCTAATTTTTGTATTTATGTAGATGCTGTAAATAGATGGTTAGAAGAAAGCACAGTTGAACTAAATGTCAAACGTGTTCTAATGCATGGCCTCCCTGGCTCCGGTAAAACGTGTTCTCAACGTCTCTTACTAAATAAAGGCCCACCCGAAGAACCTGTCACTGACAGCACAGGAATAGCTTGCCGTGCTGTCAAAGCTACAAGAATTTCAGTGAATGATGATTGTATGGAAGAAATCGATGCTAAAGCTCTTCTTTCTAGTCTAGCACATGATCTAAAGGAAGCCGCAGCAAAACAAAAGAAATTACCACCAGAAGACAATAGCACAGAACCAATGGAGGAATCTTCAGAGACTAAAACAACAGAACCAGCAAAGCTAGCAGATGAATCAGGAGAGGCAACAAAAACAGGAGACCCAGCAGACGATATTGAAGTAAATAAAATAATTGACGAAATTGTTGACACAATTCCAAATGCAGAAGGTAAATTCGATAGTAATTGGGTATACTTTATCGATTCCGGTGGTCAGACAGCATTTCAAGAGCTATTGCCTTTGTTTACTAGAGCATCCTCTTTTAATATCGTCACACTTGACATTTCTAAAGGTATCGATGAGAAGCTTGAGCAGAAATATCGAATCAATGGAGAATTATTGAATCAAATTGATGAAAATAGTGCAGGGGATTCAAAGCCTTTTTTGTACACAAATATTCAGTTTTTAAAGGATGTTCTCTCTTCTGGAGCTATTTTACAGCCTTACCAAGCACCACAACCAATTGGATCAGAAGAGAACACCAGCACTGGATCTACAACTCCTCTGTGCCCAGGATATTTTGTCTTAGGTACACACGAGGATAAAAAAAAGGCAGGAGTCATTGAAAAATATAATGATGAGCTGAAAAAATTAAAATTGGGGTCTAGAAAAAAAGGCTATTTCATCATTCCTGCTGAACTAGGTGGTAATATAATATATCCAGTCAATACACTTAAATCTGGCCCTGACAGAGAAGCTGAAGCCAAAAAGCTTTGCAAAATAATATATAATCAAGTTTCTGGGGATGAAATCCATATACCTGTTCGATGGTTTGCTTTTGAGCTGACTTTGCTAGAGAAAGCAAAGAGAAAAGGCTGCAGCTTCCTTGAGATAAAGGATGTCTTACATGCTGGTGATAGCCTTCAAATGAATGCTGATCAAACAAAGGAAGCTCTACAATATCTTCACAATGCTACCATTATTCTTTATTATCCTCAGGTTTTGCCAGATGTTGTATTCGTTGAACCTGATCCTATTCTTAATTTTCTCTCACGTCTATTGGTTCTAGCTACTTATCAAATACCGCAAGAACATCTTGATCACTTTGTAAAGAAAACAAGCTTGCTATATGAGCTGGAAGATGATCTAAAGCTTAGAGGCTTATTCACTCTAAAATTTCTGAAAAATTTAAAAGGTAGTGAGGATTTTTTAAAGTTTGATTTTATCAGGCTTTTGCTTCACCTTCACATCAT